GTTTGGGAGTTTACTAAGGGAAGGGAAGGGAAGGTAAACAACGGGAAGGGAAGGGAAGGGAAGGGAAGAGAATTATAATATGTTGTTTGGGAGTTGAGTAAGGTGAATGAAGGTGAAAGGAAGTAAATATATGTATATTTACATAAATGACTTTATACTAATAACACATTAGTCCTTTTATTTATTTTGATGGGGGTAAGAATGTCATTACACCCATTTACCCTCCCTTACCCTCCTCTACCGCCCAAATCGGTGGGGAAAGAAAACCAAGCAATTTTACCCTCCGTTCCCCTTCCTTCCTCCTCTCTACCCTCCTTAAAAAAACTCTCAAATAAGGTGAAAGCTGCATTTCTCCTCCCCTCCCCCTCTCTACCCTCCATCCAAACAGGGCATATATCTAGGAAACGAATCAAACAACCCGTAACCTTAAGGAGTCCTGGATGGTTTTTATTCTTTTCCACTTCTTAATTAATATCTGCATCCCACTTGTTCAAAAATTTAATCAATGATCATACTAATTAAATTTCGTATTCGTATGTCAATAAAGACACTAGTAGAAAAACGACCAACCTAGACGGAAATTTCCGTCTAGGTTGGTCTACAATCCGTCTAGGTTGGTTCATCTAGACGGAAATCCGTCTAGGTAGATTGGTTTATTCTGTTTCCGTCTAGTTTGGATCAAACTAGACGGATTTCCGTCTAAATTGATCAATCTAGACGAAAACCAACCTAGACGGAAGTAGCATTTCCGTCTAGGTTGGCGGCTAGACGGAAATCCGTCTAGGTTGCCAACCTAGACGGATTTCCGTCTAGGTTGCATCAACCTAGACGGAAATCCGTCTAGGTTGCTCAGCTACAGTTTTTTTTTTTTTTTTTTTTTTTTTTTTTTTTGTTTTGTTGTTTTTGTTTTTGTTGTTTTTTTTTTTTTTTTTTTTTTTTTTTTTTTTTTTTTTTTTTTTTTTTTTTTTTTTTTTTTTTTTTTTTTTTTTTTTTTTTTTTTTTTTTTTTTTTTTTTTTTTTTTTTTTTTTTTTTTTTTTTTTTTTTTTTTTTTTTTTTTTTTTTTTTTTTTTTTTTTTTTTTTTTTTTTTTTTTTTTTTTTTTTTTTTTTTTTTTTTTTTTTTTTTTTTTTTTTTTTTTTTTTTTTTTTTTTTTTTTTTTTTTTTTTTTTTTTTTTTTTTTTTTTTTTTTTTTTTTTTTTTTTTTTTTTTTTTTTTTTTTTTTTTTTTTTTTTTTTTTTTTTTTTTTTTTTTTTTTTTTTTTTTTTTTTTTTTTTTTTTTTTTTTTTTTTTTTTTTTTTTTTTTTTTTTTTTTTTTTTTTTTTTTTTTTTTTTGCAGAACCCACATTGCATGCTATATAACATCACACGTACACAATATTACACAACACCAAATCATATTCATATCCAACACAATCGATCTAATTATATTTCAATATCAAATATAATTATATTCAAATAATACATTCACCAAAAAACTAGAAAGATACATAAATTTTTTACATAGATTATAAAGAATACAATTGTTTACATAACTTGATGAACTTCGCATAATTTATAGAATCCAATTGCATTTACTCCTCCAATTTGTTGAAGCATCATGTTTCTTCCTCTTTGATCCTACATTATACAAAATTTAACATCAATTAGTCCATATCATGAAATACACTTGCAATTTGGTGTTGTCAGAATAGGATTTTCAGAAAAAGCTTCCAAATAGATAGTTATGAGCAGACATGAACATCAACTTCTCACCATGCATTTGAAATATAAAATATATATATAAAACATATAAACTATGAAAAAGAATGAGAGAAACTAGAGTCCTACCCCCTAATCAACAACTCTATTTCAACTATATAACATGTCTTGCCACAAACTATCTTACAGCCAAATTATCCAACTGTGTGTCAATTAAGGATACCGGTGAATTTACATAAGGTTAACATGTACTAAAGAAACTAGAAAGTATGTGCATGCTCACAGTTTCATGTACAAGCACTCGCTGGACTTCTGAGGAGTCAACCACATTTATAGATTATGTAATATGCAAGAACTATAGTAAATGTAAGCAATGCTTATTAGGATAAAGCAACGAACGTCATCAATATGGCACGTGAACACTCAGTTAAAAAAGAGAAGCAAAAGAATAGATAAGAAGGAAAATGGGAAAGATAAATAGGCAGGATGCAATGAAGAAGAGAAAATAGCTAGAGCCATGGATAAAAAATAAACATACATAACTAAGGGTAGGATGTAATTTGTGCACACAGTCATAAGAACAAGATATGTAGAAGTCAATGCAGAGAATACATATATAGAAGTCAGAAGAACAAGTGTATTTGTTCATAGTCATATAATCATAAAAGATCGTAAATACCTAAGTAGTTCTAAGCTCTCATGTAATTTGAATTTTAAATATGACTTGGCTTTTAGCTGATAAAGTAAATAACAGATGACCAATAATGTAAATCTGGCGACAACAACTTCAATAAGCAATCATATATAATAACAATAATAAGATGACCACTTGTGCACATTAACACAGGAAATAGATGAAAGAAGCAATGCACATCAAAATTAAATTCACTGATATGAGAAATTTTAAGGCCACATTGCTTACGTGGGTGTGTAAAAGGGCTTCCCTGACTGAAGAAATACAGTTACATAATTTTCCATAGATGAAAGAATTGATCTCTTCTTTATGTCAGTATATCCCTGCAAAAGAAGTAAAAGCTCAAATGTAAGTGGTCGAATTAACGCATCCAAACTCCTCCAACTGAGGGAAAAAAAAGTAGAACACACTGCAGATTTTGCAAGTGCTTAAGCAAGTAGATCTAGTGCTGATATCCCAGAGGAACTCAACAGTTGCTCAGCTTGTTGGCGGAAAACTAGATGGGCTTCATTTCTACAATAGAAAAAAGTTTCAGCAGATAAGAAAAAAATATTAAATTGACTTGACTAATGGAAAATTATGGAAGTTGCGGCATTAAACAAACTGTATGGCAACATGGTGTGAAATATGAATAATCAAAATTTTGATTTGATAGTATTTACTTTGAACTGTAAGAATGAAAAGTGGATCTTCATGATCATCACAAATGAAACAATGTCGTTTTATATTTTTGAGATGCAAAACAATCTTTGCATAAACTCCCATAATCCAGTGTGGAGAAATGGAGCTACCTTGGATACTAAAAAACATTGGTGCTAAAATCCATCATAATAAATCAACTACAATATAAGAAAAACTATGAAGACGGCCACAAACTAAAATATTGAGAGCCCCTTTGCACTTGTATATGTATTCATAGTCTGCGCACATTTGGGTAAAACAGATATTACCACAAAAGTACTAATAATCACAAGCAACATGCAAAAATTGGTACCATGTCAAATATTTCAGTATTTGGATATTTGATGGACTCTCATATAGTACTATTATGATGTATGTAAAATTGATATGGAAATAATAATTCCTGCTATACCTCCAGCACAATTACCAAAAGTTTTTGTCTCATTGCTGTCATCAAGGAATCAAACAAAATGTCTGAGAGAGCTAAATTATTAAAAGAGCATGTAACCTAATGACCCACCAAGTTCAAGACCTGGTAATTTGCTGGTAGAGGCATCAATATACAAGATTTTGTCAGTTACCTTGGTAATCAATTACTCGAGATAGAAAAATGCACAAAAGCAGGGGGAGGAAAGAGTAGGTCTGCTCGTACTCGTACCCGCACTCGGCAATGCGTACGAAGAAAACGCCGTCCCATAGAACGCTGCTCTCTATAGCGACGGGGGTCTTTGGCCATCGGATCGAATCGAACGGCTGAGATCTCTCGCCAAGGCACGGAGGGTTGAGTGAGGCGGAGGTATCGTAGGGATCGAAGAGGAGGCGCCATAATATGATTAGGGTTACGACGAGGAGGCGAAAGGCGACAGCGAAGCGGAGGACGGGAGCTATGGATTCGGTGGAGATGGAGGTGGAGAGGGGATCTCGGTGCGGTGGGAGAGGGATCCGTCGCGGTTGAGGGAGATCTGGAGCCGGCGGCGTGGAGATAGAGAGAGAGATTTGGGGGTCTGGAGAGGGAGATGGTTTGGCCGTTTGGGGATTTTTAGATGGAGAGGGGAGAAAAAGGAACTGGGGAAATGAAAGAAAGAGGCGGGGAAAATGAAAAAAGAGGGGGAGTTTTTCAGGTAACCTAGACGGAATTTCCGTCTAGGTTGTATCAACCTAGACGGAAATTCCGTCTAGGTTGAGTGGTCATTTTAAAAAAAATAACATCCGTCTAGTTTGTTAATCTAGACGGAAATTTCCGTCTAGACTGATTCAAACTAGACGGAACAAACTAGACAGAATTTTTTCCGTCTAGTTTGCTTCAAACTAGACGGAAAAAAATTCCGTCTAGTTTGTTCCGTCTAGTTTGTTCATTTTTCTACTAGTGAGACCATGACATTCTGAGATCTATGCATATACTAATGGGAAAAATAAAGTACATGAGTGTACAAGGATGCAATCTAGAGCTTATCAAACTCTTGTCTTTTATAAAATATAATCTTCTACGTCACATATCAAACGCTAGGTTGTCTTCGAAAATCATCTTATAGTTGATGATAGTCCTCGTTCGAATAAAATTAACGAGGTCTGTTTCCGGCCCATTCGGCATTCATCAATTAACAATCACAAGAAATTTAACTACTACGAGAAACTTTAGCTACAATTCATAGATATCATCGCCAATGTAGTAATTAGCGACAAAACCGCATATATTATACTGTCGACTACAAATTTTATAAGAAACGAAGATTATGTAATCCGCTGCGAATCTTGATGTATATCTTATCATCAGATTAGTACAACTATTGGTGCAATTAATCCTCGTTTAAAATACCCGTTGCGATAAGATTAGTAGGTACTCATTATTATGAACAACCCTAACACCTGCCCTCTATAAATAGAACCACACAATTCAAGCCCCAAAGCCTCAAGCCTCACCACCACAATGACAACTACTGAGATAGAATCTCAACAAGCCATCCCTCTCTCCACAGCCGCCATCTCTCTACAGGTCAAGGACTTCGTTTGGTCCGAAACCGAGTGGCCGAACATAAAACACAACGATTTTACCGCAAGCGAAGACATTCCGATAGTCAGTTTATCAAACAAGAAGAACACGAAAGAGTACGAAGAAGAATGCAAGAAAATGGTGGAGGCAAGCAGAGAGTGGGGATTCTTCAAGTTGGTTGAGCATGGAATAGATGAGGGGGTTGTTGAGGGCATGAAGAGAAAGTGTACGGAGCTTTTCGAGCTTCCGATGGAGAGAAAAGTTAGAGGAGGGAGAGGGGAGGGGTTGCCTTTAGGGTATTCGGCTAGTAATCCTGATTATAGTCGGAACCTGCCGTGGGCTGAGATTCTTCAGTTGCTTCAGTGTTCGAAGATGGTTGTAGAGTTTGGGAAGAAGGTTTTTGGGGAGTTTCATCAGCCTTTCAGGTAACGGTCAATTTCACAAAAACCTCCTATATGGGCTCATGCAGGTAACTGCCTAAATTTTCTCTGTCACAGAACCCCCTGAAATTAGAGGTGCCTCGAAAAAGCCCCCTAACTTTTCCCAGTGGATCATAATCTGTACATAATTGGCAAATAACTAAAATGTCTTCGAGAGAAAAGAAATGCCCCAAGGAGAGTGGTGTGTTACCTGCAAATGGAAAATGACTGTATTGCGGTTTTTCTGAAATTAAAAAAAAAAAACATGTTCAGGTTGATGGTTATATTTGGAAAATTGTGAGTAGACACCTTGTAACATCTCCGGTTTGAACTTATTACCCCCTCTAGTTTAATTTGCAGATAGACCCTTGAGTGAAATTCTTTTGACTTTTTTACATTCACGGGTCTATTTACAAAAATAGTAAGTTCAAAACAACAATACTATTGCGGGTTTATTCGCAATGAACCCAGATTTAAATTTTAATTGCAAGTATCTTGTAAAAAGTTCCTAACAAAGTCAAAAATTGTTGTGAGAATTGTATGCTATAAGTCTATTCTTATTCTTGATGCTTCATAGATTTCAGACTACAGATTCGGTTATTCCTTTTTTGTCGCAGTGAAGCATTAATAAAGTACATGGAAGCATTAGACAATCTTGGAATGGTCATATTTGAGATGCTAGCTCATGGATTGGGACTTTCAGATGACTACTTCACAAGGAATTTCCATGAGAAAAACTCCACAATGCTGAGAGTCAATCAATACCCTCCATGCCCACTCCCAGAGAGGTGTCTGGGTCTTGGGAGCCACACTGATCCTCATGCTCTCACAATTTTGCTGCAGGATGAGGTTGGGGGGCTACAAGTTCAGAAGAGCAATGGTGAATGGATTGGGATTAAGCCTGTTCCAAACTCTTTTGTCATCAATATCGGAGATGTACTTGAGGTGAGCATCCTCCTCTCTTGTTTCTCTTTACATGGTTTTTTTTGGAAAAGTACTAATGGGTATGAGTTGGGCGTTTCTTTGGTAAATTTCACTAAGACCCCAGTAAAATTGAGCATTTGAAAGTTAACCCCAAATATTTTAAAAAATAAAACTCCTAGAACTTTTGGAATTCTAGAAAGCCTCCAAAAACATTTTGTTTTTTCACTAAACCCCCATAGCGACATCATCCTTTGTTTTGAGTTCCCATACAATGGATACCACATAAATATCATAAAGTAGTCATTGGGGTTTAATGAAAAAATAATTCAAAAATTTTTTGATGTTTTTTTTTAAATTTCCGAGCTTATTGGAGGTTTAGTGAAAGTTTCAGAATATTTGGGGGTTATGCAAAACATGCAAACTTATTGAGGGTTGAGTGAAATTTACCCAATTTTCTAGATCTCTTGCTTATTTTGATGAGAAGAGAAATTGATTTTCATCATTTAAGAGCATACATGTATGTAGTTCAATTTATTGTGGGATACATGTACTTAAAATTGAACACTATTGGAATTTAAAATTACGGTTTTTTTATAGTGTCCATGGGCACTCTATAAGAGAGGAGAGAGATAGAGAGAAATAAATTATACATAGAAATTAATGCAAATCAGGGTGGCCCATGAGCTATTCATTTCTCTCTATCTCTCTCCTCCCTTATAGAGTGCCCATGGGCACTCTATAGAAAAACCGTTATAATTATAGTCCAAAGTACCAGCAACAATTTTCAAAGTTTTAGTGCATTGGAAATCGGGCACATTTAACTTGGTGAGAGCAAGCAAAAATTCTTTATTTTCTTCTTTTCTGCCTAATGCTTAGGAGATGTTTGGTGCAATTTCTATAAAAGAATGGAAAAGAAAGACATCCAAAATATAGATTTCCTTGTATTTTTATAAAAAAAAGGATAGGAAAAGTTTTAAGAACTCAAAAATATAATTTTTTTTTGTTTCTTGTACTTTTTTTGTTTGGTTGAAAACAAGAAAATAGACTCGTTACTTTATAGAAATAACAAGATTTCCTTTTCATTTATTTGGTTGCATATAAAAAATTTATAGAAAAGTTTTCCTAATCTAATTCATCGTCTATCCATGAACACAAAATTTCACTCCCCACAAAGAACCATCTATTCCCAGTCTCACTACCCAACAAAAATCACTCTCCGATAACACTCTCAGTATTCACTCTCATTGATCCTCCAAAATTCCTCCTCCATCAATAAACCAAATCAAATGGCGGTGAGCAACAACATAATAGCCTTCCTAAACTTCCTTTCCCTTGTCTTCTCTATCCCCATAATCGCCACCGGTGTCTGGATCTCCACGCCAATGCCGCCTGCCACCACCTGGCCCGCTGGCCCCTCCTCCTCCTCGTCTCCCTTGGGGGCTTTGTCAGTGCCTATTGGAACCGCCAGCCCCTCCTCATAGCCTACCTCTTTGCCATGGCCTGTAAGCGTCAAAAATTGTTTATAAGTTCCCGGATACAACTCAAGATGAAGAGGATACGATTAACGTAATCATCTAAGTCAAAGAAGATCATTTGTTGCCTAAAGGAAGCAAATGAATACGCGAAAAGACGGAACGATGAAGCGACAGAATGCGCAAATCGACAAAACGCTGAACGAGACACACATCAGTGTGTCTCACCTGCGAGACACAATAATGTGTCTTGCTGGCGAGACACAACATGTTGTCTCGCACTCATGTGCGAGGCACAAAGTGTGTGTTCGCCCAGTCAGACTATCCAGACGTGTTTTCTGATAGATTTCTCGGGATTTGTGCGGTCTATTGGCTTCTTAACAGCTTTGGGAACAACCCTAAATGAGGAAAAGTCGTTACCAATTGAAGAAACGTCCAAATTAATCATGGATTCTTATCCATAAACATGGCATTTGAAGCTTATAAATACCCTCCTTCGTGCATTTATGAGAGGGGGGGACGTGTGACTGACGAGATCTGAATTCTTAGGCGAGGTGTTGACGTCTTGAGCAGAGAGACACGAAATCCAGAGAGAAAAAAGGCAAGATCTTGGCGAACTTCAGCATAAAGAGGAAGATTTTAAGAGATATGCAGGCCTTCACCCTTCCCTTGAGATCAAACCTTGTTTTGATCTCGAGAAGAGTATTAATCTCACATTGCTGAGCTTATTTACTTATGTTCTTATTTCTAAAACCAAATAAGAATGCTGAGCCTTCTTCACGGTCAATCCGGATCTGTGAATCGGCGTCCACGTGCTAATGCGTCTCCGGCACATGCAAAGATCTTACGCAAGCAGCGACCGATAAACGATCTCTGAGTATGTTTCTAGGAGATTCCCTCTGTTTGTTTCTCTTATAAAGAAAAGTCTTATAAAAAACTCACTCTTTTATTTCTATTTGTAATCGATAAACGATTGTAATAGAAGTTGCAAAGAAACTAACTTCCGACGCAAACATGGCCGCCCTCATCGTTGCCCTCCTTATCCTTCTCGTCTTCGCCTTCATTGTGACCCAACCTGATGGAGGGTACCAGGTCGAGCGACCGAACCCTAAAAATATTTCTGCCCTCAATCTCCCGTGAGAAAACAGATTTGGGATGAGAAATAGTGTACATGTTAAGTTTTATTACTTTTATATTTGCATCGTCAGATTTCTGGGTGATTTACGCCCATTTTGGGTGGAAGTTGATTTTTATAAATTAGGTACTTTTTCCTACTTTGTAGAAAACTTTTCTATAAAACTTTTTTGAACCAACACAATTTATAGAAATCTGCATAAAATTCTTATTTATAAAACTGCCACTGTTAGTTCTTTCCTATAAAGTTTCCTACAAAACTAGAAAACCAAACACCCCCTAAGTGTGCTTGAGTGGGATAGTGCCTTAATTAATTGGCAACCCCGGTTCAGTAGTTCACATTATGTATGCATTTAAATCGAATTTTAAGATACATACATTGTCGTGTCCAAGTTTCGGCCACGAAAAAGGCTCCATGCAAGAATATCAAGTAATGATCCACGCTATTCATTACAATTTTGAAGTATTGATACGGCCGAGAGCAGTTGACACATTATTCCATGTTTCCCGTATACATGCATGCATATTCGCCTATAATCATCTCATATAAGAGCCGTTATTTCCACTTAAAAAAGGGACAAATGAGAAGAAAGAAATAACTACAACCACGATGAGCCTCCTAACAAGGCTTTTCCCCATTCAGGCATGGACTAACGTGCGCCTGAGGAGCGTAGTTCACAGGGCCGTCGTCAATAGAGAGCAGAAGAGATTGTCCGTTGCCTACTTCATGTGTCCTGCGAGCAACACGCTCATAGATTGCCCACCTCAACTGCTGCTTGATGCAACTTATGGGGAGAGGAAGTACGTGGCGTTCACTTGGGATGAATTCAGGAAGGAGCTGCTGAAACAAAAGAGGGTTGTTGGGAAGACTGCGCTCAGTAGATATCTTATATCTCCATCCTCGATGAATTGAAAACTTGTTTGCATGGTACTTAATTTGGAGTTCCTTTTTAGCGAAAGAGAGATTTTGTGTGGGTTTAATTTGGATGCTTGATGCGTAATGCCGAGTTGTGTAACAAATTAGTATTGGTGTCTTTGTTATAAACGAGTTTAAGGGTTTTTTTTTTAAAAAAAAACCATGTACTCCTGATCTATCCTATAATTTGCAGATTTGTTCTCCAAATCTTGCATATCTATTAACTTACCCATGTTAAAGCGGATGCTTGTTTTCAACCCATACATCCTCCAATGATTTTTAGATCCTTCTCATCTAATATAACATCGTTAAATTTCATTTGGTAAGTTATCAAATATGCATGTCTGAGAGGTACGAGATAATATATGGTTGTTTAATCGTGTTACCCTTTTTTCTCTCGATACCTTGAATCTTTAGTATTTTGACATTAGCCCCCCAAATCTGCATATTTGAGATTATTCCTCTAAATCTTTAAGTATTTTGAAATTAGTCCCCCAAATCTTCGTATTTTGAAATTAATCTCCCAAATGTGTTTTTGAAATTAGTTTCTTTATTTAGTATTATATTGAAAGGCCCGGGGGCCTAATTTCATAATATGAAGATTTGGGGGACTAACTTCAAACTACTTGATTCGGGAATTAATTTCAACATGTGAAGATTTAAGGGACTAACATCAAAATACGAAGTTGGGGAACTAATTTCAAAATATGAGATATATTGGTGACTAATGTCTGAAAACCCCTTTTATTTTATTTGATATATCCGCACGGAATTTTTTGGAGGGAGGTAAGACCTAGTTTACTTATGAACATTAGCTGTGATTAGCTCATATTCAATTTTCCAATTAAATAAACAAATAATAATAGGCACTGCGCAAGGGACGTCATAAATAAATGAACTAATGTGGTGACCGAAACAAGGTAACTGCCTATATTCCAGAGAAATAAAAACTGATTGAAACATTGTTAATTGTAGAGAATGCTTATAATAAGTTATGTGAATGAATAAGATTGGTTTATCTAATGGGTCCTACAACTACAATAATTTTTATTTAATTTATTAAATTAATATCATTTACCGAATCCACAAAACTTATAGTATTTTTAGGTCAAAGCCTGGATTTAATCCTCAATTCCTACCAAGTAAATTCAAGAATGCCTTTTTCAAAAGGGAAGGACTTCTAGAAATTGCCTTGTTCAAAAGGGAAATAAATGCTCCCATCCTCTTTGGTTTTTGGCACCTTGAGTTCTCATCTTGTTGAGTTTCTTTTTAGGGCGTAAGCACACTCTTTAAATGCTCTTTTTTCCCCTATATATTTAAGAGGTTTGCTTCGGTGCTCCAAAAATACAATTTTTTTTAATTTTTAAATTAACAAAAATAACAAATGAGCTAACATAACAAAAGAGTATTTTAGTCTTTCAAATTATCTTTCTACCTGTTTTCTATCCTAAACCGTTAAACGCAACGAAAGAAGAAAATTCAGCAAGGGGATCACCTCCTTTGTTCCATCACACAAAAAGAAAAAAAAAATCAGAGAGAGAAGGAAGAAACCGAGTTACTGATCTCTAAGTGAGATCACCGCCGACCAAATATCCGCCGTCAGAATCCCATCCAACGAAGTGGCGATCTTCCACTGCGAGCTCTGCCGCGTGATTTCCCATCCAACGAAGTGGGAATCATTGAAGAGTACACAATAATGTATTATCTCAACCTACAGATCTAGTTTAACGAGTTCTGTACATTTGTTCTTTTATACAAATATAAATAGATTGAACAGGGTATGTAGTTTTTAAGTTTGAGAGAGTTTTAGCTTTTTGCATCTCATGTGGGGTGATATATTTTCAAAATTCTATGTATTTTATATGATAACTATCATAACTTCGTAAAACACCCAATATATGTAAATCACAAGTAATAGGAATTACAGGCCAGTTAGTTGGAGAAAGGTTTGCTCTTTCAGCATAGTTAAATTGTCGACCCTTTAGTGGTTTATGAAAATGAAGCATTTGAATTGGGTGACTGTGAAGTTTTGAAATTGAGTTTGTTACTTGAATTTAAATATGCAAACCCATAGCCATAGGTGAATATGGTCAAGAATACTTGGTTATATTAATCTGTACATGTTATATTTGCGAGTAAATATTAAAAACCTAATGCTGAGAGGGCTTCTATTTGAAAGAGAGATAGGTCCAATAGAAGTAACGATGGAAAGTGCGGAGCAATTAATATGGTGGAATTAATATGATGGAAAGTGCGGAGTAATTAAAAGAAAAAAAATATGTGGATACCTTTCATATATGCGGAGCAATTAATCTCTGATGGAAAGTGCGGAGCAATTAATCTCTGATGGAAAGTGCGGAGCATCTGTTGATGAGAATTTTTGGAGGCGGCGAGATTTTTTTTTTTTATGGAAAGTGCGGAGAGATTTTTTGAAGGCAGAGCATTTTTTTACTATGGAAAGTACAGAGAATTACATGATAACGAGCAATAAAAAATATAACGTGAATTATTAGTTAGTTTGAGAATTCTAACTAATCTTAAATTTTGTTTCTCTCCTAAATTGTATTTTCTAAAATAACCTTTTTAACTAATTAAACTTATAGTTAATTACAATTTTGGGTGTGGAACACCTCCTAACTGTCAAATCTATCTATCTAGAGATGAGAGAGCTATTTTTAAGGAATTTATTTACAGATATGCCATCGTTGCTCCAACAAATCTTTATGGAGCACCGAAGCTGTAGGCTATATTTAAACTGAACTCGGTCTAATCCTATATCAAATTACACAATATATTTGCCATTACTTGCTAAAATAGCTCTCACTGATTGCACCAATGACAGAGGACACTTGTTTCAAAATTTCCCTTTCGAATGACTATATCTAGGATACGTTATTCTTTAGGATAATTTGGAGCTAAATTTGGTGATTTTCTAAAGTGGACAATTTTAACTCGTTAGGACAATTTGGAGCCTCCTCAGATGGTTCGATCCTGAGCCAGAAATCCTATTATGCACTTGAAGAATCCGTGAGAGGTCGGAGTTGGGATGTGTAGTGGTTTCTCCGATGATCAAGTCAGTTCAAAACTTGAGTGGGGAATTAAGAATTAAGTAGCAAATAAATTTGCTCAAAGTTGCTTATTAATAGCTTACCCTTAGCAGTAGGCCTCAATTCGTTTTTATAGTAGATCTGAAGGATAGATAAGTAACTTTGGCCGAGTCCAGTTGATGGCTTGATCGTTTCTACTTTGCAGGTGTCGGCCGCTGATGTGGGTGAGTCATCCAGGCGTTTAATGTGGGGATGACAGGATGCACGTAGTGCTGACGAGGTCTGATGAGTCATAAAGACTTTCAGGGCTGGAGCAATGATGATTGTGATCACGCATTTAAGGTCATGGCGAATGAGTGTCGGTCGGGGCTCGAGGGTGTACCGCTTTTCGATTCGTCTTACTGGAAGCCGACAAACACCCCTTTTTAGTCGTGCTCGCAAGTTGTCAGCCTGTAAGGGCCGAATGCCAACAAGGAGTGGAGTCAACTAGAGTGGTAGGCCGAATAATGATGCTTCTCGTCTCGATCCTACGGATAGGTCGACAAGTACCACCTTTTTAGTTGGCTTCACAAGTTGTCAGCTTATTGGGTCGACTGCCAGAGTCACTCGAGTCGTCTTTCTTTAAGTATGGTTGTTTAGGCACTGGGTGAGATATGAGTTGGACCTCTAATAGGATCAACACTTAAACTATTTTGTATTCTATAACATTGGTCCCTTTCATCAAGCAGTGGAGCAGTTCTGGTTGCCTCGTGACGTGGAGATTCTGGGGGAAGTCCCCAATGTTAGCCTCTATCAAGCCCTCCAAAGCTACTTGGTTCACGGGGCTCTCTTGGAACAAGAACTCTTTGGCTGAATGGAGAGAATCCGGACCGTCTATCTCAAACTCCAAGGGGAGTTAGAAACTCGACAAACTGACGTAGGGGGGGCTACCTTGAGGAAGCCCTCATGGAGTTGTCAGCCAAGGAGGACGAGCTGGGCAACTAACGACGAGAGATGGAGGTGCCAGAGCAGATGACCAAGGGTTTGAAGGCCTCAGATGCTCAAAAATCCTCTGAGATTGATAGGCTCAAATGTGAGCTCCAAGAGAGCAACAAGATGGCAAGACAATTATCTGAACAGGTTACACAGGACAACAGGATAAGGACCATGCTCTGGTATAGGTTGAGGTTGAGCGCCAAGCTACCCAACATGCCAAGGACAAGCTTGAGGAAGAGGAACTTGCTCGGATGAGGCTCCAAGGGGAGAGTGCTCATCGCAAGGTGTCCCTTATTGAAGTTCGGAGCCGGATTGCCTATCTTGAGTCAAAGGCTTATCCGTCTGAGGTTGTAGAGGAGTATTGCCAAGGCCTTTTTAGTAAGATAAAGGTGTCGATCGCTTGTAAAGTAGGATTCGACTACCTTAAGGCTCAGTTCCCAGCCAATATGAGGAGTGCATTCGACCACTTTCGCTATCCTCCACGAGTCGCCAGTTGTTTGGATTCACTCTTGGAGATAGAGAACCAAGGTGGGGGGCTCGACCTTGGCGAGGGAGGTACGGAGGATGTAGGGTAGGGTACGAATGACGAGGCCCCTGTTGAAGGGGTGGATGAGGGAGACGAGTACTCAACCCGGAAGATAGGGAAGGGTTCGAGCCAGAAGAGGAGTGACATGGCCGAGCGAGAAATGTGCTCGACTTCTTCACCACCCGCTACTAGCAGTTCCCTACCTCTGACTCCGGGAGCGAGCATGGATCTTTCCTAGGCTTTGTTCTTTAGCTTAGGATTTTATATCTCCTTAGGTTGCCTTGTAAATGTTTTTGAAAGATAAAAAGGGCACTTTTTGGTTACTTTAAAATTTGTCTTGAATTATGATCTGTCAATTATTATTTGTCTTGAATCAGTCTTCAAGTTGCTACTGTGAGTTGACCAAACCTTGAGTCCCGAGCCGTTTGTTGATTGTCCTAACATCTATGTCTCCTTCATAGTGATCTATTGGTTTAGGGATATAGGTCTTAAATTTATGAAAATGAGGGTGAGTACTTGAATCAGAGTCAGTCAAGTCGACTTCTAAACGTCTCCTAACTGATCATAGAAATTGCCAAG